GTGATCGCGTTTTGCTTCACAGACGCAATGTGAGACGAAGTCATATTTTTGCGAAGTTCCTGTAGGTGCCTTAGTCCGCGCACACCGTCCGAGAAAAGCATGCATATGTCCCCCAATACGGCCAACGCATGCGCAGCCTCCGTCATTGTGTGGCATGGTTGCTCATCAGCATCACTTACGTCCTCGTCAGCCGATACCCCTTAGCCGTCCAAGACTTCGGAAACGATATTGCTGTCGGTCACTGTGTCGGCCATGGCAACATCGCTGTTAGTTGCGAAGTAATCGCCAAGGGGCACATTAGCTGGCATGATGCAAATATAGCGGCCGTCTTGCTCTTCGCCAGTTTCCTCATCGGCCACCACCCCCGGATCAGCAGCATTGTGCACGAAGCCGCTATGCCTAAAGCAATCTGCGACTAATGCAGGCGGTGTGTTGTTCCACACGTTGTCAGCATGTGGATTGCGCTTAGCAGGCTTCTTTGGTACTGATTGCCCGACTCCATGCAGAGCAACATCCGCTCGAGTACTTGCTGTCGATAGCGGCTTTTCACGAACTGTATGATTCCCTGGTTCATCGGCCGCAGGGAAGCCGTTACATTCAGAGGCAGGAAAAGCAGTTCAATGTTCTCGAGCCCGGACACCTTCGTGTGCGCAGTACAGTTGTCTAGCACGTACAAAACCTTCTGAGCCTTGGTCGCAAAGCGGCGGTCGAGCTGGCGCAGCCAGGCTTGAAAGCTTTCGGCAGTCATTCAAGCCTTTCTGTTGAACCGGTAGTCGACAGGCAGCTGCTTAATATTCTTAAAATATCTTGGCTTCGCAGCCTTCCCGATCACCAGTAGCTTTAGCCGCTCTGTGCCTGTCATGTTAGCAGTCAGAAGAACTGTCAAGCGCTCCTTACTTCGTTTCCCACCGACGCACAGGTCCCCCTTAAATGCGATTGTCTTGTCAGGCAGAGCCTTATAAAAACAGTGCTGTCTCATCAGCGTTAAAAATGTTGCACAGCTCGTACGTAGAAAGGTGTGCGGATAGTCCAGACCGCCACTCCTGCACAACACTTTCGTCAACCTCACTGCTTTCACCACACACGTTGCGGAACACCAGCCCGTGTCACTTTTTGAAGCGGTCGAACCAGCCTTCCGACGCACCGAAGAACTCAATGTTCATGGTCACCGCGAACTTCTCTGCTTGTGCGCAGATAAGGGGGCCGCTCAAGGGCAAACGCGCATCGCCCGAAACAACAATCCAGTGCAACAGTGCTTTTTCTAGCTTGTGATGCGCTGCCGTTCAAAGCCTCTTTCTTTGGTCGCCAAACATATCCCTGCCATACTGTTACAAGCTGCCACTTTAGCGTCGCCAGCGCGAAGTCAGCGACGGGAATGACAGCAGGTTAGTTCGTTCCGTACGCAAGCAGAGGCAGTGAAGAGATCAGAGACGTGAGAAAACAAAACAAACTTTACTCTAGTGATATTGCAGCACACGGGATATAGTACAACACTTCAGTACAACTAACAAAATACATCAACACTTGATACAACAAAAAATACATATAAAAACAATAAATCAGCTTACGAGAGAGAACTATTACAAACTACACAAACTAACAACAATAGAACTACGGAGTAGAAAGTTCGAAGATATACTCAGGTGAAGGCATACGTGTGGTGACCGGCAGCGTTTCGTCCCCGACGATCGGATGCGAGAAGTCGAAGAGAGTTCTGGTACGACTGCGATGTCGGCAGTGTTGCAACGCTGGTGGCTCCGGGAGGCTAGTGCTTGCAGGTGACCTCGGGCAGGTTGAGCTAACTCGAGGCGAAGTCCCGATGTCTACGTTGCGGACGTTAATATCGCGTCACAACTAGACGAACGGCTAAGTTTAGGTGGCCAGCCGATACAGAGCCACACTAAAAATTTCTAGAATCTGTTTCTACACCATGTTGGTCAGCGACTAGTCTGCCTAGCAGGGCAAAATCCTGCGCTTAAATCCCCCTCGTGTCTCCTCGCTCTCTTCCTTGGGGACAAGAGACCTCTACATGGGTCCAATCATGCGAGTTTCCTTGATGGAAACTCCGCCCCCAAAAATATATTGACCCGACCCTTTTTAATTAGGAGAGGGCCCTCAACTAGCGAGAGTGACAACCTGTTGGGGTGTTGTCATACGACTTGGCCACCAGAGGATTTCTCACGGTTTTCCCCGTGGGAAACGGTCAGACTGCATGGCTCTCAGCCGGTGTGTCCCGTAGTCTAATCCTTGTTCGGGGTACATCGCGGCCTTCCACGACCTTGCAGACGCCGCCGCAGTTACGAAAGGATCAAACGTCGGCGGCGACGTTCTAAGAAGAGCACCCCATTCTGCACTTCTCGGCTCCCTTTCATGCGCCCGCCGTTCCCACGGTCAGTGGGAGAGTACGGCGCCCGTTAATTGCCAGGACGCGGGGCCGTCAAAAATGGCCGTCCGTGACACATACGCTTGCATAATCTGCTCTTCATTCTTTACGTAAGTGCTCAGCGTGCTTTTCTTCACATTGAACTTTTCAATCATTCTTTTCAAGATGCTCCCGCCTGCACGCCTTCAACATTTTCATATTCGCAGTCGAATCCTTTGCTTCGTACTTCGCACTCTTCACTGCGGGAGTTAGGGCGGTTGGGGCTGCAGGAGACGAAGAGGAAGCCATCCTGGCGTTGCTCGCACGGTGGTCATGCACGCGCGCACGAAGTAGACAACACAAACACACACACACACAAAGAGGCACGGTGATAAAAACTGAATAAAAATCAGCGAACTTTTCAAAAAAGAGCAAACTGTAAAACTGCAGATGGCACTGATCACGTACAGATAAATAATTCAAAGCACACCAGAGGTGAGTAATCCAACTCAACCGTCACGCAAACGTGTTCAACGCGCAAGAAAAAAAGAAAGGCAAATCCTTAGGTTCCCCGTGGCTGATGACAGTAATGATGCACTGCTTCCTATTTTAGTTTTTAAACCACCATGTGTACCATGTGTTTCTTTTTTTTTGGGGGGGGGGGGGGGGGCATCTCTTAGATGTACTACTCATGAACGAAGTTTTGAATCTCAGAGGCCGCAATCAGATCCCAAAGTTGTTTAGGTGTGCCGTCAATTTGGCCGGCAGAATCCGCTGCTGCTTCCCCGTCGTGACTTGACTGCTGTCAAGCGTTCGAATTAACCGAAGCGCGGCCAAATTCGTCTGAAATAATCAGAGTTATCAGTAATAGAACAACGTACATTTTGGACGGGACCATACGTCGTGGCCGAATTAACCAAAATTCCAAATTAACGGGGGTCAAATTACGAGATTTTACCATATTCCAGTTTTTTTACCAGTTTACCAGTTTTTACCAGTTTTACCAGTTTTTTGTGTGTTCAAAGAGGTAGAAATTTTGTATTTGAATTTTTTCTGTGTCTGTTGAACCATGTGGCAGTGTGGCAAATATATGGTGTGATTTTTATGAAGTTTGCTGCAAGAGAAAAAAAGTTCTCTAGCAGGCTGGCTTTGCTTAAATGTATTAATTAGATTTATTTTATTGACAAAAACTGGCTGTAAGGAACAGTTTCACAATTTTGTAAACATAACATCTTGCAAAGCAGACAAAGCATCGCTGTGCTGCTCATCTGCTACCCTAGGTTTCAAATTGAAACTGTGCCTTTCGCTGTCATCTGGCCCAATGCGGATCGTCTCGAAACAAACACTGGTCAGCTACTTGACCAGGGTGTGGCAGTATCTTGAGTCGAGCGGAGCTGATTTCAGCGGCTGGTCGCATGTCACTGCCTTTACGGCTGGGACCATATAACCGAACTATTTAACTGAGATACATAACTCAAGAAAGTGTCGTCCAATTATTGTAACCCCTCTACCAAATTAAACAGTTTGATTGCATGTCCTGCCGTTATCTGCCTGTATCAAGGGTGTGCTACGACTACATCGAATTCTGCCTTCCAGGCCTGATTAATCGTTATCATATTTATATGCCAGTCTCAAATATACCATTAAATTGAGGGTGGCACTTTCACATTATCATTTGAAGCAATGTATGCGTAGAAGTTATTGTTTCCACTTGATATACCCTAACAGATGAAGTTTACAGAAATAAGAGAATATGTCTGTTGACTGCACATTTACATATGGTTGAAGGTTATTCAGTGTTTTTTCGTTTTAGCTTATAAATATTCAGTACTTTTATTTGAGACCCATAATAGAAGCCCTGCTGGCCAAACTCTCTGGAATTTGCTTTGCTTTCTCAAGTGCAGTGAGCTTCATTCATCTCAGGACAGCGGCTGATCCACGAGAGGTTTTTTTTTTATTTTACTGGTATTTGACATCGTGTTAAAAAGGGCCCTGCAACACTTTTATAGGAAGCCATCAAATGGATTCACTCAAGGAGTGAGCTTATTGAATCACGAATTCACCACCGCAAAATGTTGCAGAGTGCGTCCGGTATGAGTGGAGTTAAAAAGATGTGACGCACGCGACAATTCTATTTGCTGTGCCCTTGTCCCGATGAAAGCAATGGAAGCTCAGCAGGAAGGATGACACGGGGGAAGAAAATACATCACGCTCGCCTGGTGACTTGCTAACACTTTTTCTCTTTCTTTTTTTTTTTTCTTTGGATGCCCGAGGTGTGATTGCGTAACGGCTCATTGCGCCGTACTCAAGTCGGCCAATGGCTGATGCTTGGCTTGGGACACGGTGATTTTGGGCCTCTAGTGTCGTTTGTCGAGAGAAGAGGAAGTGATTGGTTGCTGACTTTGAGAACTTATTGGAAGTTCCAGGCGCACGTACCGCGCTATAATATTTGGCTCGCATGTTTTTGGGAGCCTCGACTACTGATTGTCAGCGTTATCTGACCATGCACAAAAAGTGTTACGGGCCCTTATAAGCTTTCTCCTAGCTCGTAAAACCCTGATCACAAGCGAGTGCCATACGCGTACTGTTTCCTTCATCTATACGCGTCAACATATTCGGTGTATAATTGCTTTTTCAGGGAGGTGTCTGTGCTTCAATTTGAGTACCGTTGTCAGGAGATTCAGGTGAGGAGTCTCTTGTTTATTTGCTGTTAAGTGAGTGTCCTTTGGGGTGACCTTGAGTGGCAACAAGCAATTGGTTCTAGTGAAATCAAGAGCACTGTCTTACTGTGGCGCAATTTTTCTGCAGAGGGCAGCCACATTGTTGAGCATTATCTTGTGAATGACATTGTTGAGCTGTTAATCGATATGACTAAAAGCTGCGGAAAGTGTTCCATCGCATAATCATCTGGATACCAGGATCAAATGCATCTTCACATTCATTTGATCATCATTATATTGATCTTCAGTATGTTTTGACCTGTTACCATGGCATGCATTGAGGGAAAGCCGTCCTCAATGGCAGTTCTTTAATTTCTGTGCTAATTCGAAGCAGGAATGGATGTAACAGAAACAGAAATGCTGTAATACATTCTTAGAGTCAGAGTTGTGAGGAAAAAGTTATGACTACTTTAAAAGATTGGCGATATTGTTATGTTTCTCAGAAATTAAATTTGTGGTAAAAGGTTAAAGTATCCCAGGAGGCCAGAGTTTATCCAGAGTCCCTACTACCATGTGCTTCATAATCTTATAGTGGTTTTGACATAAAAACACCAGCAATTATTATTGGTGAATACTTTTGGTACAATGCATGTACCCACCGTAGTAGCTTAACATCTGAAGCATTATACTGCGAAACACAAGGTCGCAGACTTGTTTTTCAGCCATGGCATCTACATTTTGATGGAGGTCAAATGTAATAACGCTTGTGTGCATAGAATTAGGTGAATGTTAACCCTAGATAGTCAAAATTAATTCGTAGACTCCCACCCCGCCATGCATCATAATTGTATCTTGGTTTCAGCTACTGAAATACTGGACTCGAAATATGACATGTACATAGTACTTAATCCTTCCTTTCTGCTATGTTCCTGGTATGTTTATTAACTTTATCGTTCATAGCTTGGCAGGTGCGCCTTCATTCATCCTCGGTAGCGTGCATGCTAGTATGTCAAGTACTCATTTCTTGATGCCAGAGCTTTTAATTTGTGTACAACAAACGCATTGACCTTTTTATGGTTTGCTCATTTATTAAGGCTGCAGCGAGTACAAGTCGCAAGGCCAAAGGAAGCACCATTGAAGAGGAGACGGTAGTGGCAAGGCGTGGAAATCTGCGAGCCCAGCAGTACAGTGCCGTGACGAATACTCGCCTGGGAAAACGCTGCGCAGAACTCATGGGTGATGTGCCCAAGCGCTCGGGCGAAGACGAAAGTGCTCCAGAGTCAGCAGAGAGCAGCAGTCGTCATACAAGTCTTGGGAAGACGAAACTTGCAGCAACAGAAAACTCTCAGGAATCCAGTTTTGCTGGTGCTTCTAAACGTGGTGCTTTTAAAGGAACCAGAGGAAGGAAGTCTCGGGAATCCAGTTCTGCTGGTGCTTCTAAACGTGGTGCTTCTAAAGCAACCAGAGGAAGAAAGAAATCAGGCGGAAAGAAACCAAGCAGTAAGAAATCAAGAAAAGCAAACTAACTAGCAACAGCCTTTCAGAACTTTGTATAAGGTTTTTTTTCGAACGTCGCAAGACTCGACTAGCGGTGAAGCGCATCATTTCTATTGCATTTATATTCATTTCTACAATACCTAGTCATGCGGCGTGGCATCCCCATGAAATTTTTATTGGTGGTTATTTTAAGTTGTTGATGCCTTTCATTATAATCCTTCTCATCTTGACTTGTTTCTAGTCAGAAAGCACTGTCTGTGAAATATGGTTGTGTACGAATGTAGTGGTGGAAAATCTCCATGAACTGGAAATTGCTGCACATAATCTTACTTTTGTTTATTTTTTGTGCTTATTTTGTGGGCTTGCTACTTTTGTATGAATGACTATGTAAGCTAAGGCAGAGAGAGAGAGAAAAGACATTTATTTAGTCTGGAAGGAAGAGGATGAGATGTGTATACATCCAACTCGTGACTAAACCCATGTCGGGACAGGAAGGCCGGGCCTTTCCGCCCTCTCACGGGCCTTCTGGACAGCCAAGAGCTGGACGTCATAACTGGGGCCATTGATAGCAGCGTTCCACCAGGCTTCCTGGCAGCAGTCCTGCAACGCAGGGCATCGCCAGAGCATTTGTTTTAATGAGCTAACTTCACAGTCTGGGCATGTTGGGTCTATCTCTGCATGTACCATACTAAAAAAGCTCTTTGAGGGGTAAGAGTCCGTTTGGAGCATTTTCAACGTGATAGATTGCGCTCTATTAAGTTTATGGTTGGGGGATGAGAACACGCGTCTAATGTCCCTGTAGTGCGAGGTAATCTCATGAAAAGTGACGAGCGGTTCGCCGAACTCGAGCTGCTTCAAACCATTAGAGTTCTCCTGATCGCCGCGGCATATGAATCCTTGTGCACGTTTGTGAGTGATCTCATTGGGGTTCGGGCGGCCCGGTATTACGTCTGAACCTATGCGAGCCGGGAACCAGGTGATGTGGTGAGGTTCGTCTTGCAGGGACCTGCCTTTAAGGACTTTAGCTGCCTCTTTTGAGACTAGACCCGACTGAAAGGCCCGTACAGCAGCTCGCGAGTTACTGTATATGGTGGTGCGTTTCGGATCTAGTAGCGTCATAGCGACCGCTACCTGTTCAGCTACTTCTGCCATTGAGGTGTCAAGTGAGGAGGACTAGAGGAGGTCTCCTTCGTGGTCCACAATAGCCACTGAAAATCTGCCAGCATTTTCGTGACGGGCTGCATCAACAAACGCTTCTGTACCCATTAGATTCTTTATGAATGCTCCTGGCCTCGCGAGCTTTCTATCCTGTTAAATTGTGGATTCATGTTTCTTGGGCATGGGTCAAGAATGAATGATTTTATGACATGATTGTCGAACTGTATTGCCTCACCTTTGTTAATGCCAGGTTGTAGGCCTGCGGAGCTTAACAGGTTCCTTCCTGCTTTGATACCGGATAATCTGGTGATTTGTGCTATGCTTTGTGCGTACGCTAGCTCATCCATGGTATTATGAACCCCTAACTTGAAAAGCATCTCCGTACGGGTTGTTATTGGGATAGCAAGCACTTTCTTGATACTTTTGCTTATAAGTCTATCTATCTATTCTTTTCTGATTGTGTCCAATTGAGAGCCGATACTATGTAGTTCACGTGGCTCATAAGGAAAGCATGATGAACCCTAAGCAGCATGTCCTCCCCTATTCCACCTTTCTTACCGGAAACTCTCATGATTAACCTTATTATGTTTTCTATATGTGGTTAGATCACCTATGGCCCTGGCATTACATTCTTCGAAGTCTATCACAAGACCCATGATCTTAGTATAATCAACTCATGAAATGTCACGTCCGTCTTCGGTGTGAATACTGATGGGTATTTCAGTGAGGAGTATTAATCCCCTAGCCCCCCCGCCGTGCTTGTCTATACAGCTATATTTCTCTGGCGAGAGCGCAAGTTCTGTGTTCGCCAGGAAAGACTCAGTTGCATCGAGAGCTCCTTGGGGAGCTTGTTCCACAGTAGCCTCTGAACCTCCTGGACACCAAATTATTATATCATCCGTGTGTAATGCATGGCCAATGTGTGCGACTGCTGCAAGCTTCCTTGATAGTTTGCTCATGACGATATTAAATAAATGGGGGGAAATTACCGCCCCTTGCAGAGTACCTCTGTTTCTAGTGTATATTCTTATGTCAAATTCCCACTGCGTATGACTGCCTTTCTGCTTTTCAGAAATGATCGTACAAAAGAGAGAGAGAGAGAAGTAAACGTTTATTTTGAAACAGTGCCTCGAGCAATGCCCGGTGTCACCCTTAGGTGGGAGGGCTTCTTAGTCCAGGAACCCTCTGGCTTCTACTGCCCTCTTGGCCCTGGCGACGAGTTGTTGTTGATCTTCCAGGTCCTCGAGGGCGAGCTTCGCCTCCCATGTTTCGGTTAAGTCTTTGTTCGTCTGTCCTGCCTTGTTATCAGTCGTATGTTGTTGCAGATTACGTCTGGCAATACACTGGCATGCAAGAAGCAGGTGCGCCAGGGTGTCCGGTACGTTGCAAAGCGGGCACATAGAGCTATATCTCGTTGGGTAGAGATGGTGCATTAGGGCCCCATGCGTGTATGTGCTGCTTTGCAGGCGTCTCAGTATTACGCTTTCCTCTTTTGTCAGTTTTGGGTGTGGTGGAGGGTATACTCGTCGCTCCAGCCTGTAATGCTGGAGTAACGACGAGTAGGTGTTTTGAACAACTTCCGTCTCTTCAACGACGGGTCGAATGTCCTGTGGGCAGGGGGCAGCCCGGCTGACGTGCTCGCAGGCAGCGGCGTGGGCCGCTTCATTTCCCTGCAGACCCTCGTGTCCTGGCACCCATAATACACAAGTGTATGGGAGTGGAGTGCTTCGCCGTTTCAAAAATATTGCCGCCAGCACGTAGTGGGTTGGCAGCAAGAGCGGCTCTAAATCTGGAGGAAAGAAGAAGATCGCGTTCTTCTCTGCTCGAGAGCCAGCCCCGACTGACGCATCGTCCTAGAGCTAGCCACCCGGTTGTTCAATAAATCCCCCCCAGTACTTGTGACTTATCGTGACAAACTGGTGGAAGGTGCTGGGTAGCCTCACGGATGCTGCAGACCTCCCCAGGAAGCCGTAATACGAGTCCAGTGCCAGTCAACACTCCTGTGCATCGGACCAGCCGCCGAATCAGGGGATTGCCTCCGGAAGTCAACGATACTGCTCCCACCACGTCAACAAACATGACCAGCACTTCGGTACAAACCTTGGCAACCGGCACGGGAAGCACGTCGCCGAACCGCTATACGTTGGAAAGCCCACGGGCACCGCCGACGTTCCATGGTACGGAGCGCGAAGACGTTGAGGACTGGTTGGCGGACTTCGAGCGCGTAGCCAACTTGAATCAGTGGGACGACGCGGCGAAACTGGGTCGTGTCTACTTCTATCTCGAAGACGGGGCTCGCACGTGGTATCAAAATCGGGAGGAGCAGCTGACGACGTGGCCCGAATTCTCTCGTAGACTTCTGCAGACATATGCCAGCACTGACCGCCAAGAAAGAGCTGAACGAGCTATTCTTGCCTGCGTCCAGTCGCCAAACGAAACTGTGACCGCGTACGTCGAAGACATGACACGCCTCTTCCGACGGGCCGATTCGAGAATGACTGAGGACAATAAGTTGCGTCACTTGATGCGCGGTGTCAAGGACCAGCTTTTTGCCGGCCTCGTGCGAAGTCCTCCGAAGACGGTCGCGGAGTTCTTGTCCGAGGCCGTGACAATGGAAAAAATGCTGCAGCAGCGATCCAACCAATACGACAGGAGAGTCAGTGGCATGTCTACTGCCGACATTTTCACCGCCACTAGAACCAACAACGACTGTATACGTGAACTCATCCGTGATGTAGTACGTGAAGAGTTACAAAAGGCTGGTGTAACACCTCATCCTACAGTCAACTCTATCGCGACTGCGATCAAGGATGAGCTGCACCAGGCCCTCCGGGACACCTTGCCTCGTGATACAGCTGTGCCAGCTCCTGCTGAATACCGCCGTGAGACAACCTACGCGGAAGCCTTGAAACGCCCTGCTGCAACGCCGCCATTATTCGTCCATCCTGTTCCTGCTGTTTCACTACAGTCAGCGCAGCACATACCGTACTACGAAGGCACGTACACGCCACCGCCCCTGCCCTTTGTCCCTGGTGCTTCTGTCGCCCATCGTTCAGTGCAACCAGTTCAGTACATCGACGATCGGCGCACGTCTCCTCGTAAGTCTGATGTTTGGCGCACACCTGATCGCCGGCCTTTGTGCTTTCACTGCGGAGAAGCTGATCACTTGTACCGCCAGTGCCCATATCGCCGTCTTGGGCTTCGCGGCTTCTCTGCGTACTTGCCGCCACCCCGTTACGGTCAGAGACCACGCGACATCCAAAACTACCTCTCCCAGCAGCATGCACCACCATCTGCCGGGCGCCAGTCGCGCTCGCCATCACCGAGGCGATTTTCATCAACGCCCCAGCGGTATTCTACCGCACGATCTCCCAGCCCCCGCCGGGAAAACTAGCCGAAGCGACCTCTGGGGGCGGGGTCGCTGAACGTCGAAGCGCTGAAGACCTCCTATTGACGCAGAACAATACAGAAACTGGTCCGACATCACCTGCTGCTGCTAAGGATAGCCGGCTTTCACTCGACATAGCAGTAACAATTGATGGTTGTGTAGTTAATGCGTTAGTGGACACCGGCGCAGACTATTCCATACTGAGCGGGAAACTGACAACGCAGCTGAAGAAAGTAATCACACCATGGCATAACTCGCAGATTCGGACAGCTGGTGGCCATGTCGTTACTCCACTGGGTGCCTGCACAACTAGAGTACAGATTCAAGGGTACACATTCGTAGCAAGCTGCCTTGTTCTACGTGAATGCTCCCGTGACGTCATTCTGGGAGTTGATTTTCTACAGGAAAATGGAGCTATCATTGATCTGCAAGAGCGCCGCGTCACGTTCTCAGCCCAGCGAGCAATCAACGTGCAGGATGACGGAATGCGTGTCGACGTACTCCGTATTTCTGAACAGAGCGTGACGCTTCCTCCCCGAGCCAGTGTTCTAGTCGACGTAACATGCTGTGGTTTGAGCGTTGGCGATGTGGTGGCCGAGCCAAATTTAGAACACCTCCTGCAGCAAGGCATATGTGTAGCGAGAAGTGTAATACACGTTCGCGACGGCCGATCTGAATTGCTCGTTACCAACTTTAGCAATGAGCATCGACACCTTTTCCGTGGCACTTCGATAGCGTTTGCCCACGAAGTAGCAAACGTAACCAACTGTCTCACGTCAGAAGTAGTGGATAACGCAGACACATCAATGAGCAACATTGACATCAATCCTGATCTGTCCACCGATAACCAGACTGCGCTGCGAGCGCTCTTGTTCGAGTACAGGTCTTGCTTCGCAAGTTGCTCGAAGATCCGCCAGACGTCCATCACTCAACACAGGATCATCACGTACGAGGACGCACGCCCAATACACCAGCACCCCTACCGCGTGTCGGCTAAAGAACGTGAAGCGATACGTACGCAAGTTCGCGAGATGCTTGACGATGGCGTTATCGAACCATCCAACAGCCCGTGGTCATCTCCAGTCGTGCTTGTCAAAAAGGACGGGTCGCTACGCTTCTGCGTCGATTACCGAAAGCTTAACAACGTGACCAAAAAGGATGTGTACCCGCTACCGCGTATCGACGATTCGCTAGATAGACTTCGTCATGCCCATTATTTCACTTCTCTCGATCTCAAAAGCGGGTACTGGCAAATCGAGGTAGATCAGCGAGACCGCGAAAAGACAGCCTTCGTGACTCCAGACGGCCTATACCAATTTCGAGTACTCCCTTTCGGCTTGTGTTCAGCGCCGGCGACTTTCCAGCGAATGATGGACACTGTCCTCACAGGGCTGAAGTGGCAGACTTGTCTTGTCTACCTTGACGATGTGGTGGTCTTCTCTGCCACGTTCGAGCAGCACCTTCAGCGCCTGCGCAGCGTGCTGGAGGCTATCCGATCGGCGGACCTCACACTAAAGCCACAGAAGTGCCACTTCGGCTATAAAGAACTAAAGTTTCTTGGACATGTAGTTAGCGCCGAAGGAATCCGTCCCGATCCGGACAAGCTTGCCGCTGTTGCCGAATTACCAGCTCCTGTCGATAAGAAAGCCGTCCGGCGCTTCCTTGGTTTGTGCGCCTACTATCGCCGATTCATTCATGGCTTTTCACAGATAGCAGAACCTCTGACTCGTCTCACAAGAGACGACACACCGTTTGTCTGGGAAAACGAGCAACAAGCAGCTTTTGATGAGCTGCGACAGCGCATGCAATCAGCGCCCGTTCT